CTTGACTTCCTGATGTTTAGGCACTCTTGCTTCCCACCATCCTTAATGACATTCTCCTCCCATCCCTGCTCCTCTTCTCCTCCCCCAAAACACACATCTCCATTTCCTTCCACCATTTAAAAGCTATCCTTGTTACAAACTGCCTTTGGGATGAACTGGTAAGATTACTGCTTTGTAAAGGCTGAGGAGGTCAAGCTACTTTCAAATTCTATTAAAATTCTTCCAGGCATACTTCAAGGGTCATATATCTTCTCTCGCCTCTTACTAACAGATGGTCAGTAAATTAAACACACTTTCATCTGAATGTCTGAGATCGGCAATTAAAGGCTGTCAGGCAGCCCAAAGCAGCAGGCTAGCTAACCCTAGAGAGATGCAGAAGACAGGAAAAAGTCAGAAGCTGTCTCACTCTTGCTCTGAGCCTTGGAGTCTAAGGTTATTATTGCCTCCTCTGTCTTGGAAGAGAACCTCATTGGGACCATTGGGGGTCCATAGTGTGATTTGGGGCAATTTTGCATGATCCTTGGAGGCTGGCTTGTCCCAGTTTTATTAAATGGTTTGGTTTGCCAGGTGGTTTCAATAAACACAGCAGGCACATTGATACACTTTGTCTACCTCCCAAATGTCTATGACAGAAATTTTATTAATGAGCACAAACTCTGGCACTAGACTTTCTGGGTCTGAATCCTGGCTCTGCCATTCTTAGCTATGTGACCTTGGACAAGTTACTCAACCTTGCCATGCCTCATGGTCCTTACCTATGAGATGAGGTGAAAATAGCCACTAGGATTAAATAAGTCAATAACTGGTATCTAGTGAACACTTGGGAAAACACCTACTTTATACAAGCGTTCTTTTAAAAAAATCCAATATGATAAATTGTTCCTTCCAATCCCCGCCCCCCCTTTACTTTTTACCCGCGTCTGTGTTGATACTTCTCACAATGGAGAATGATGTAGGATCTGTAAGGGTATTTTCACTGTGTGAAAGATGATGATCAAAGAGTATCATGAAAGTATACATAGTAAAATCTCTCGTTTAGATTTTACTGTATGTAATTTACAACAGTTTTATTAGACTGGGATAAGTTTACACTTGCACAATCTTAAAAGTTTGCTGATACTGCAAATACAGAAAATAGAATGTATAGACATGTGTAACCTACTAAGGTAAGCTGGCAGTTCCAAGTTAAACATGAAGTTACCACAAGACCCAATAATGCCACTCCTCTGTATATAGTCAAAAAAATGAAAACATGTTGACAGAAAAGTTTGTACATGTATATTCATAGCAGCATTATTCATGATAGTCAAGGAGTGGAAACAACCCAAATGTTCATGAATGGATAAACAAAATGTGGTATATCCATGCAACAGAATATTATTTAGCCATAAAAAGAAATGAAGTACAGTTAGATGCGACAATATGACTGAATCTTAAAACCATTATGTCAAGAAGTCTGACTCACAAGGCCCCATATTTCATAGGTAAGGACATTGAGGCCCAGCAAGGTTGAGTTGTTTCTCTAAGGTCATATAGCGAGGAATGACAGAATTGGGACTCATACCCACGAGGTCTAGTTCAGAGTTTGTACTCATTAATAAAAGTTCTGTTGCATACATTTGGGAGGTTGAAAAGAGTTTATCAGGTGTCTGTTTATCAAAACCACCTGGCAAATCTATAGACACGAAAAATAGATGCGTGGTTGCCTACACCTGAGGGCATGGAAGAATTGGGGGTTGATGGTTAAGGGGTGAGGGGGTCCTTTTCAGGGTACTAATACCTGTTCCACCACCCCTTCTGCCACCATGAAACCAAACTCCGCCCCCCTCTCCCTGGGGATCCCTTAAGTAAGAGGAAAAGGAAAAAGCTGCCTCCCCATACCGTGTTACCAGGGTATCCAGGAAAAGCACCAGCACCCCAAGGCAAAGCAGCTTTTCCAAGTCAAACACAACCTAGCCCGTTAGGCCCACCCCTGGTGCCCGCACTCCTGGGTGATCTCGGGATGGGAGTGAGCTCCTAACTGGGAGGACTCGATTCCCTAGACAAGTAAAGAAATTGATGTTTCTCAGTGTAACCACAGGCTGGGGGTTTCCCTTCAGGACCCCATAAATCCCTATACTGGCTCTTAGAATATGCTGGACTCTAGACAGCAAGCACAGCACAGACAGCAGCCTAATGGCCAGTGCAGGCTGAACCCCAGCCTAGGGTCCTCATGGGAAGCACCTGCTTTCACATAGCCACAGGCAAGCATCACCCTCTCCAGAACTGCCCCAGGCCTCCCCTGAAGGCAAAGCCAGGCCCAACTGGCCATCAGCTCCAAAACAATGATGTCCTTCCAGTACCCTCCCTACTCTTCCCTTCCTGCCCCAGGTCCTTATCTGGCCCTGGAAATACCTGTTGCTGCAGAATCAGGTGCTCCCCCACCAATTGGGATGTGGTCGGAGTCTCTGGCCCTAGTCAGATGCTCACAATATACTGCAAGATCGAAGCTCATCTTGTGGTCATGTCGTTACATTTATAGCAGTAAAACTGTGGAAACAACCTACAAATCCATCAATAAGGAAGTGACTAAATAAATTATGAGGCCTCCATACATTAGAATGCCATGGAAATGATGACATAAACCCATATGTAGTTATATGGAACTACAAAGAATAGCCCTATTTTAAGTGCCCAGGAAATAATATAAAAATAACATATCCAGGTACAAAGAAAATCTCAGTGAAGTTCAAATCCCAGAAATGTTATGAGTTCTATTCTCTGACCACAATGCAATAAAATTAAAAATCCATAAGAAAATAAAATCCATTTTATAAAAGTTTATAAAGTAATAAAAAAACATTTATATGGAAAAGCAACTGTTCAGAAATTTTTTTACTTAAGGCAAAACCAAGAAAATACCTACTTACCAGTCTGTAGAACACATGTGGCCATTGTCAAGACGTTATGGTAGAGCAGATGTGAATACATTTATTTGAGTTTAATACATAACAAATCAAGTGACTATAAAATGAAAGAAAAATGATCATTACATTCACATGAGAAATGGATAATAATATGTGAATAGCTCATCCTTACTCAATCCTTACTCATTTACCACAGAACATTCCAGACAGGTTAAAGTTAAATACACACAGATATACACATACGCACCATTAAAAAAAACAAACCCACAATACAAGAATCTAAAAGTGTATGCTCACTCAACCTGCTGAAAGTCTGGTGTCAGAACAAACTGTGGGTTTCAGACCAGAAAGACCTCTGAGTTTCGGTTCCACCTGAGATGATTACTCAAACACTTAGCATCTCTGAGCTCAGTGTCCTATCTTAGGCAAAAAAAATACCAATTCATAAGAATCGAGCCCACTCCATGATCCACACTTTCAGCCTCTGTCGTGGACGTACCGGGCTGAGTGTGGCAGATGCAGTGAGGTGCCTCTGAGAACAGATGGCCCTGAGGAGAAAGATCAGAGTCAAGACACTGTCCAAGCACGAAATCATAGAAAATTACAGGAAGCCATGAGAATATATTTTAAAGACGTGTAAACATCTGTATGTCAACAATTTGAAAAGCACTGGTGTGAAAGAATACTTCATGGTAAATATGAAAAACAATGTCAAAATACTTAACAAACTGATAAAAAAAAATATGTAAGAAAGTCCTTAGAAATTAGAGGAAGACAACATAAGGCAACTCCGAGGGTCTCCAGCAAATACAGAGAAAGGTGCAGCTTTTGCAGAGTAGCTGGAAAGGAAGTGCGCTAAATATATGCTGATCATCCCGGAGTCGATAAAGAGCTCCTAGCCATGGAGGGCTCACATTAACAAACCTTTCAACCTGCATTCCTCTGTCTGAAGAAGGAGAGGCAGGGAGAGATGGAAGGAAGGAAAGAAGAAAGAAAGAGAGGGAGGGAGGGAGGGAGGGAGGGAGGGAGGGAGGGAGGGAGGGAGGGAGGGAGGGAGGGAGGGAAGAAAAGAGAAAAACTCAGTTTGTGAAGAGATGTTTTTACCTGTGTAATTTGTAAGCACACAACACTAGATATAGCCCAAATCCTGACTGCGAACTATTATGTTGCAGACTATGCAGATCCATGGAAAAGGATACACAAAAAATGTTACTTGAAAAAGCCGATCACAAGATATTATATGCACCTAGATTCCAACCAGGCACAAATTGTTCTGGGAGGATCCGAAAACCTAGGAGAGTGATAGGCAGGCTGTTATATTGATGGAAGCATTGGTACATTTGGCTGCTAGTTTGACATTTCTGGGGGGTTTGCACTGTAACATTGGGTAAATATTATGTACAAAAGAAATAAAAAGGAACTGTTTTTTAAAAACTTTCATCACTCCACCCAAATAAGTCTACCCAGGTCATCTCAAGGCTGGATTCCTAGGGCTCAGGGCAGGGTTTCCAAGCAAATGGGAGCAGGTGTGGAGGGCATTGGCTGGCAGGGCCAGCAGGGGCTCCTCCCTCAGGACACAGCTGCCTGGCCAGGCCTGGGGAGCATTTTATTGAATGAGCTGATGTGAAAGGCTCACACCTCCAGGTCTGCAGTGAGAGGATCTGCCATGCCTTTCCTGTCACCACCCAGCTCAGCGGGTGCCTGTGAGCTCGTACTGCTCCGCAAGTTCTCTTTGGTCAGATTACTGCCAGGGGCAGCTCCTTTCCCCGCTCTTGCCCTGCCCTGTGCCCCCAGGAGACACAGGGCTGCCCTGACTCCCACTCTGTGGTTCCACATTGAACAGATAATTGTTTAGCCAAAGGGCTTAAGCTCAGTTGAAGGCCTGGGGGTTAAACAGGCCCTCCTCCCCACCCAGCCCTGCCCCCACACACCCCACACACCCCACTCACCCCATCCCCCTCATGTCTTGCCCTGATCTGGGGTCTGCTCAGCCACTCTGAGTCCAGAACCCGCGTGGACTCTAGGCCCTGCCCATATCTGAGCCACTGTCTTGTTTCTGTCTCAGCCCCAGACTATGCAGCCACCTCCCAGCTGGGCGTCAGCCAGAGGAGACGGAAGGGAAGGAGAGTCAGGAAGCTGTGAGGATCCCCAAGGCAGAAAGGAGGCTCTGCCCAGCCCAGGTGCTGCCTCTTTTCCCTGGCAGCCTCAGCGCCACCCGCATCCCCTGGCTGCTGTGAGGGAGAGTTTCTCTAATGGATCAGAGCTGGTTCATTCATTCCATCTCACTGCGTGCCAGGCCGCTGCTGCTGGGAAGCCAAGGTGAGTCCCAGTGGTTTTTCTCTCAAGGACAACTGAAGGAAGAGTGCTCATCACCACCCCCTTACCTCTCCCCACCCCTGCAACCCAACCACCCTCACCCTTTCATAACACTGTCCCAACCTGCTCTGGCCTCAGACCACCTAAGGCATGCTGGCCACCTGAGAGGGCTGGTTTCCTGACACAGGGTTACCCCCAACCCTATGACCACTGTGTTCCCAAACCATCTGGCCCTGCCCTTTCCAGGCCTCCTAGAAATTAAAATAGGAAAGAACGGGAAGAGGTGACAATGCAATCCCTGAGAATTGGCCGTTGACAGATATGACAAAGCCCCAGAACTCTAAGCACCCTCCCACCCCGAAAATGCCACGGGTGGCGAAGGAGCTGTGTCCGATCTCTGCCAAGCCACAGACCACATTCCCACGGGAGCCGCTCACTGCAGGGTGGAGACAGCTGTTCCTCTCAGCAGATGTTCTCACATGAAGCAGGAGTGCTCCCCAGCCCGATCCCTATGACTCACTGGAGTTCAGCCAGCTTACCCGTTAGGCCTGAGCAGCCTGCCGAGCCCAGTGTGTGGCTGAGGGCAGATCAGGTGGCCAGTTGGGGCCTCTACGGCCCCATCTGCAAAATGGGGAGTCTGGTCGCTTAGCCAGCACCCTCCTTCTCTGAGGACAGAGGCTGTCTCTGTCCCTGCTACCCCCACAAGGCCCAGTGTGGACTTGTCCCTGTTCATTTTTTAAGCACCTACTGTGTGGCAGGCAGTGTACTAGGAGCTGGGGCATTTTCCCCCAAGAAGCTGGCAGAGGGAGAGAAAGACCCCCGTGGTATTAGGGCTGTGACAGTGACATACTCAGGCGGCTGCGGGCCTTCGAGCTGAGGCTCCCCCACTGTCCCTGCTGAACCAGAAGAGAAGCCTATGGAAACAACGGGCCCAGGAGGAGCCTCAGGACTCAGCTGCAGCATCACACCGAAAGACTCCCAGGCCACCCCACTTCACCCGGGCTCTGGCCAGGCCCTCCAGCCAGAAACCAGCCTGTCCTGAGGGTCTCCTGCCTCGGCAGAGCTCAGAAATTGTCCCGAGGGTCACACGTTTTTTTCATGAGCCTTACCTCCCAAGAGGTTCTCGTGAGCAGCTCTGACCATGCCCCCTAATCTGACCACTGCTCTGCTGCCCTGCAGTCACTTATGGGCGGCACCAGATGGAGATTCAAAGGGAAGGAGAGAAGGCGAGTGTAGCACCTGGAGGTGTGGGGCCAGGATGTCCAGAGTATGATACTTAATCCCTCTGAGTCCAAGATCTCTCGGGGTAAAAGGAAGAGGCAGGACTTCTCTCTGAAGCCAGGCGCCCCACCTCCCAGCCCAGCCTGCAGACTCCCCCCTCCCACCCCCACTTCCCAACTCAGCCACCACCGGGCTTTCTGGATTGTCTCATAACATATCACTCATCACACTATTTCTCTTAGCTCCGTGGAGCCTGTTCTGCTTGAGAAACACATTTGGATCTAATGGAGTAAGAAGGTGCTGAAGTTAGAAATATTTGCTCAATTTTGTAATATGTATGAGCATATGTTACATTCATTTACCCAAGTTAACTCTCCCCCACCAGGCTGTGAGCTAGGGTCAGGAGCTGTCTCATGCTATAGCGTCAGTGTGATATTTTTAACCACCATAGACAATAATTAAAAACATGACTTTTTAAGACGACACGGCCAACATGGTCAACCTGGACCCCATCATCAGATGTTGTCCTGATGATTTGCTTCACTATTTCCGTGGGGGGCCCACCAGTCCTTCCTAATTGTGCTTCTCTACATGTTGTCCCCATTTCCCTTCTAGCCGTCACTGAAGATGCAGGCTGAGGGCCTCACATCCAGGGCTGTCTGGGGGCAGCTGGGCACTGGCAGACTGGTTTATTCAGGAATAAAATGCTGGAGAAGCTGTAAGTGGCTCTGAGGATCGTGCAGGGGAACCAGGCAAGCAAGCATTTTTGCATTTCAGCTTATCCAGTGGACTGAGAAGCCAGGCAGCAAAACAAAACAAACCAACAAAAAAACCATTGGCCACTGTGTCCACTACACACACAGACTGCCTTCCCTCCTCCCCACCTCCATGGAGCCCAGCTCCCCCATCAGCTACTTATCAGAAGTTCTGAAACCTATTGAACTCTAAGCCTCGGACTTCACTCTTAAATTATTTTGCCACAAGGCAAAACAGGTCATCATTTGAGGATTAGGACCCTTCTTCCCAGTCAACACTGGGACACAGGGACCCTCCCAGGCAATCCAGGAAAAAAGAGTTGTTGTATGATGTTGCACATTGGGCCCAGAAACAATCCACACAGGCACAAGGATGGTTTTCAGACAATTTATGGTCTTTTAATTTGGGGTGGCTTGCGGCTTAAAAGTATTTTCCAATTCCCATAGAACCTAGATTGCAAAAAATACGTTCCCTAACCCTCATTAGCATCTGATTGTCTCTCTCACTAGTGTTTTCTGGTCATTCTCATTTTAGCAATTGACTTCTCACCTGAAAATAGTTGGTGATCACACACTCCTAGAGCAGAAATCTACAGGGGAACCTCTGGCTTGGAAAACCCAAAGCTGTGGCTCCTCGAGCTGACTGGTGGCCCTGGACCCTGGCAGATCCATCCCTGATCCCTTTGAGGCCCCTTTTATCCACAGCAGAAGCCCCCTTCCTTGAAGACTGTGATCCCCAACAAATCTGTAACACAGTCTCCAAGACCAGACAATAGACACCCTCCTCTGGGTACACACCAAGAAGCTGGGCTCCCTGCAGGGACCCCCCAGAGCAGCAAGGGGCCACTCCCTATGTGGAAAAGCTCCAAAACTCAGCCAAGGCAAGCCAGGTCCCCAGGCACAGGGCCCAGCAGCAGATCCATTCCTTTTGCAAACATCTGGTGCAAGCTCCACGCTGAGGTCGGGATGCTGCTTCATCCTGGGCGGGGAGGGCCTCTCCCTCACTACCCTGCTCACTTTCTCAGGGTTTAGGCCTCAGCTTCTACTGCCTCGCCTGCCTATTGATAGCCTTATGGGGAGCAGTTTCTCCTCCCCCCCCCCCACCCTGCCCCAGGAAACAGGGCCTGTTTGTTGAGGCTATCTGTGGAGCTTATCTGTCTTTTATTGAAGGGGGGTGGGAAAGGAGGGATAAACTCTGACGTCATGGGCCTGCGTAGGACAGCAGGGTTGGAGGCCATCTGCAGCAGGTGCTGGCAGGGCCCCTGGGAAAGGAAAAAGAGAGCAGCTGGCTCATCAGGTGGGAGTGTCCTGGGGTCAGACAAAGACCTCATGTCATGATGAGGTTAAGCTTTCCTGGAATTTCTGGCCCAGGAAGGATGGATGATGCTTCCTTGGTCTCCAATTCCTCTCCTAATGCCAGACCCTATAGGTGCAGGACTCCTGGAGAGGGTTCCAAGCTCAAGGAGACCCGGCCAGGCCAGGGCCTCTATGTTTTCCATGGGTCCTCACCACCAAACAGTCCCAGGGAGTCCTGGAGGTACAGGGTTCCCCTGTCTGGGAGTGTGTGTGTGTTTGTGCAGTAACATGCAGAGCCCTCTTCTGCCACAGCTGCTTTGTCCTGCCTTCATCCAGGGGTCAGAAGCCTCTCTTCCGGCCTCCTGATTCACTCTGCTTTTTCCCAATTATAGGTGGTGAAACTGAAGGCCCCATGCAGTGATGGGACTTGGCCAGGGTCCTATTGCAATTTCCCTGCCTGGCCTTCATGAGATCTGCTCACCGCCTGCTCAGTGTCCTCTCTGGGAAGTTATGCAGCTGGAAGGAGGCCTCTGGGATAAAATAATTACAGAGAAAACAGATGGGCGGCTGAGCAATCCTCCCCTCCTCAGTGTGCCTGAGAATCCTTCTGTCTGGCCCCAGGGCCAGGAGGAGGTGCTGTTCCAAAGGGAGCTGGTTACCACCTTCTGGGAAAGGGGCGCTGGACAATCCTGCCTTAGCCATCCCTTCTGCATCCTCTCAGGAGCCTTTTTGTGCACCATTCTCACCGGAGGTATCGTCATCAAGGCCCACTCTCGTCTCCCATAGGGTCCTGCTAAAGAACCGAACATCAACTGTCCCAAGGAAGGGCCTGTCCGTGGTAGATGCAAGAGCCTTACCTTGCCCTTGGTGGAGGAGGAGAAAAAGGGAAGAGGGACTCACAAGAATGAAATCTTTTCCCTCCATGTTCCCACCTTTCAGAAGTCCAGGAGGGAGAAGAGGGTCCCAGCTATGCAATTCTCTGATGCCTAGGCCTTGGCACACTTCAGTCTGACTCTGACTTTCCCCATGCCCTGCTCCCTCTCTGTGTCCCCACAACTGACCACTCTCCCTCAGCCTCCTCTTTTATGACCCCCAGGCTTGCTTGCGCTCCGTACCCCCAAGAGCTCAGGAGGCTCCCACTTTTGGAAGGCAAGCCCCTCCCCAACTTTATCACATCTCCTGCCTCCAGAACTGTCCACCACAGACTTGCCTGTCTCTCAAGCCTGCCTCCTCTGGCTACCGCTACCTGAATGCTGCCCCACCCCCTTTTTTCCTTAGGTCTGAGCAGGCTGGGTTCTGCAACATCAGGCCCTCCCGGCTTCCCTCAGTTTCACTGGGTTGCCCTTTAGTGAGAGCAATCTCTCATTTGGTTGTTTTTCTTTCATTGCATCCCTCTCAGCCAGAGTGCATTCCCCCTTAGCCCAATGGGACGCTGCTGTTTTCCATCTAGATTTCCCTTCTCCCCTTCCGCTGGGTCTCCTTTCCTGGCTCCGCACAGGCTTTTCCTTCTCCAGGAAGCTCGCCCTCTAGCCCGGGCTGCGGGAGCTGCCCTCCCTCCCTGCCACGTCCTTTCCAGCCTACAGAGCTGGTGTCTGTTTCCTGGGGGTTCTTCCTAGCCCGGTTGGAGCTTTGCAGGCTGCAGGGATGCTCAGTGGATCCTTGGGGAATCAGTGGGTGGAAAAGTGGCAAATGACAGGATCCCCTGCGGAATTGCCAGGCCTGTTCTCTTTCCTCTACCATCAGGGCTTTTCACACCGAGCATTTAATAAAGTGCCACGAACAGCTCATGTTCAGCTGCTCAGTGGGTCCAACTTTCCCAGGCCTGGCTCCTGGGACCAGAGCAGAAGTAGACCTCATGAAGAAAAAGCAGGAAGGACCTGAGTGCCCTGTCTAGGCCCAGGAGGAACACAGAGTCTCCTCTGCAGCTTCCTGAGCAATGAAACCAAGGGGGAAGAGCAGGGATGTGTGTGTGTGTGTGTGTGTGTGTGTGTGTGTGTGTGTGTGTGTGAAATCTTCTGTTGCAAAGACAGTTATGTGCCGACCACCTCCCTCCCTGAATGTCCCTCTAGCCCAGGCCTAGAACGTCGTCTCACCCCACCTCCCAGGCTCAGCAGGAGCGGCTGTATAGCCTGCCCCAGGGAAGCCTTGCTCCACAGTTCACTTTGATTTATTCTCAAAGACAGGGAGTCCTAGATCTTTGCCCACTGTCACCAAGTACATCCAAGAGACAAAGACAGGAAGAACCAGCCTACAGAAGGAGGTGACTATGGAGCACTGGAAGCTTCCAACCTGTCCTTAATAAGGGATTTCAGAGGCTGTAGCCATTGACCCCAGAAACCAGCCCAGTGCCTGGCTCTAGAGTCAGTCTGCCAGACATAGCCGGCGTAAATAAGGCAAGTCTCAGAGAAGTTCCTTTCTCATAGAAAGAGTGGTCCCACTCTACAAATGTTACCTCGAAGAGACAATCTGGGGGGCCTGTGTAGATGTGGGGAGTCAACTCACCAGTACTCACATAGGATGCTCTGCTCATGTCTGGATCCTCTTCAAAAGCAGGAGATTCTTCTACCCAAACTCAGGCCTCAGGTGTAGGTTATTTCTTAAGCAAAAGGTGCGAGGGGCACAATTGGTTGGTGGGCATTTTCTGACTGGGTGTGCCAGGGTGGGATGTAGAGAGCCGTTGCCTCCTGGCTTTGGGTCCAGGCTCCCCTGCAGAGCCACCTGATTCTTTTACCTCTTGATTCCGGCTGCCTTCCTGCCTCTGGTGCAGTTTCCTTTCCTAAGGTGTGTAGGGGGGGACTCATTCCTGGAATCCGGGTTGTCTTAGCAACTGGAGGCTGCCACTGCACCTTGGCCCATAGAAACTAGCCCAGTGCCTGGCTCTAGAGCAGCAGTTCTCAACCTGTGGGTCGCGCCCCCTTTGGGGGGTCCAACGACCCTTTCACAGGGGTCGCCTAAGACCATCGGAAAACACATATATAATTGCATATTGTTTTGTGATTAATCACTATGCTTTAATGATGTTCAATTTGTAACAATGAAAATACATCCTGCATATCAGATATTTACATTACGATTCATAACAGTTGCAAAATTACAGTTATGAAGTAGCAACAAAAATAATTTTATGGTTGGGGGTCACCACAACATGAGGAACTGTATTGAAGGGTCGCGGCATTAGGAAGGTTGAGAACCACTGCTCTAGAGTCAGTCTGCCCGGCTCCTTAAGCCCCTGTAAACAGCGCAAGTCTCGAGTCTCGAGTCTCGAGTCTCGGGGGAGAAGTTCCAGATGGGCCACATTCTTTGTTCAGGAGGCCAAGAGGAGGACTTCATCGCCCACCTGGAGCTTCCTCCCTCTTCCGGAGTTCTCCGCTCTCCAGCCCAGCCCTGCTGAGAAGCAGCGGAGGCATAGTTTTCCTGCATCTCACTCAATTCTTGGGATACTGGGCTCTCCGCCTGGCGGCCCATCCCCAAGGGACTCCTCAGAGCCCGAGGGATCGGACGCCTTGCCCGAGGGAATCGTGGGCAGCAGGCCATGTCCCACAGACCTCTCTATGGCGAAAACGTGAAGGCGACCACCTGTCACAGCGTGAAGGCGACCACCTGTCACAGCTCACGGAGCCGGACGAGGATCGGGGCTGACTAAAGAAGCCTCTGCAGCTTGTGCAGGTGCACAGGACTCTGGAGCGAACAACCCACCCTGTGGATCCTCGCGTGGGTGCAGACAGGGTCAGGCGTGCCCCTGTCAGTGCAGACGGATGCCAGCCCCGGGTCAGACGCAGGGACTTTATTATGTACCGCGGAGCCGGGCTGAATGCGCACTTGAGAGCCCCAGGGGCTGTCACCCCATGCCACCGCACACACGCAGAAGCACTCGCATTTCGGGTCTGCCTTGGTAGCCCACCTTATTCGCTCTTCGCTCTCAAACACACCGAGGGGCGGGCGAAAAGCTTGCACTCTCCTGTGTAGGACTTGCGCTCCCCGCTGCGACCCCGGGCAAACCACGATACCCTTGCTCCCCCTGCGGCTAAAACTCCGACCGTGTTCTCTTGCCCCGGATTCCAAAGGCATACGTGCGATCTGAACTCCCGGCGAGCAGGTAAAAGGTGGAGCCGCAACCCCAGGCCTGAGCCTGTCAGGCGCCCAGGGAAGAGTTTGACAACAAGGCAGATCTGCGCGGATTTCGGGCTGTGCCAACTTTGTGGCCGTGTGACTTTAGGCAAGTGATTTAATTCCTCTGAGCCTGTCTTTGCACCTGCCCAGCGGGAAAGTGATCCCTTCCAGGGAGAGGGTGTGTATTGAGGTCCAAGCGTGTAGGCAGGGCGCCAGAGCACCGGCGCTAGGCACGCCAGGGCGCGCGCTTACTGCAAATGGAGTTCCCTTGCGCGCGCCGCTTTGCAGCCAGCTCCGAGTGCAATCGGAAGAGAGCCCGCCAAGCCGCGGGATCTCTCCGGGGTGAGATGAGGGTGGGGGCAGAGACGGAGCCCCCGCAGCCCCCTCCCAGCCCTCGGAGCGCGTGCCATTGGCCCGGGCGGCCGGGTGGGCGGGAGGATGACATCAGCGGCAGGTTGGATTTATAAAGGCGCGAGCGGAGCTGCGGACTCAGAGCGCACCCAGTCGGCACCGCGTAGCTCTGGGACCCGCGCTCACACAGCAGCCCCGCCAGCCCGCTCCGCGTTTGCCTGGGCATCTGCTCTTGCTGCCGCCTGCGTGTGCCCCTCCACCTCAAGGGCACCATGCACCTCTCCCAACTGCTGGCCTGCGCCCTGCTACTCACCCTACTCTCGCTCTGGCAATCCGAAGCCAAGCCCGGTGTGCCATCGAAGGTGGGCGCTGTCGCGGGGATGTCGGGACTGTGAGAGGCTGTGTGGGCGGGCTGGGGGTCTAGGAGATGCGGCCCCCAAGAGGGAGCAGAGAGGGCCGTAAGGCGGTCCTCTCCTCTGAGATGAGCTTGGGAGGCAGACTGGGAGCCCTGGAAGCTCGGATTCAGGGGTCTACGTCCCCAGCTTCTGGAAAATGTCGACAGATGCGCAGCACCTACCCAGTGTGGCCTGCCGGGCAAGCGGCAAAAGAAGGGAGGGTAAGGGGCTCCCCGAAGGAGCGGACAACCATGGCCGCGTGGCAGGTGGATGCAGTGCCGAACGGTCGGCATCTCTAGGGGCGCGCTCAGGACTCGGAAGGGACAAATCGCACTGGCGGGCGCCTCCGGCTGGAGCATCAGGGGCCCCAGAAAGTCTCCCTCCAACCTCCCCCTCGCTGCCGACGTGCGTCCCTTCACCTGCCTGCTCTTTTTCTCGGACAGGGCCCGCGAACTCCGCTCGGGGAGGTGGCAGCCGCGTCCCAGGCTGAGAGCGGCGGTCAGAGGAAGCGCGGTGCCGTCAACCTCGGGGGCAACCGACTGCGAGTGTTCCAGGACACCAAGACTCGATGGTCCCGCCTTCGCAGAAAATACCCCAGTTCGGGCAATAACTGCTTCGGCCATAAGCTGGACCGGATCGGCGCCCATAGTGGCATGGGATGTTAGTGCGGCGACCCCTGGCGGAGGTGAGTACCACCAACCTGGCCGCCTGGCGCTCCAGTACACCTAGCTCCCCCTCAGCGCCCGCCAGAATCTAGCCTTAACCCCTCCAACCCACCCCCACCCCCACCCCTCACCGCCCCAGGCCGATTCCTCTGATCCCCTAGCCCTGGAACCCATCCGCCTCCCATGGCCTTTGGAGGGGAACCAGGCTACACGGACATGAGATCATGTGTGTGCTAGTCATTTGCCCCCAAACCTATTTATCATCCCATTTTACAGATGGATAAATGAGGGATGGAGTGAAGGAACTTTGGAAAGGTCAGAAATGGTTCAGGATAGATGGACGCCCCTGGCTTTCTCCAGAGAAGCAGAGACAGTTTGGAGGGCTCCGGCCATCCCTGGACCATAAGTGGACTAGCAGCACTGGCCCCAATTTGCCAAATGGGAGCGTGGAGGGGAGATCTGGGGTTTGTGGGAACAGAGGAGGAAGAGCATACATACAAGCCCAGGGCAAGTCCGTCTGCCAACCATTGTATCATGGTGCCAGGCAGTAGGTTGCTCAGAGGTCAGGATGTTTCCTAGGTCTTTTGTCCCTAAAGTGGGACAGACTTGGAGAAATACCTGCCCCCTTACTGTAGCCAGAGTAGCCCGCTGTTTGCATCACCAGAGAGCTTTTCTGGCCCCAGAGCATTCTGATTCTTGTCCCTTCTCTAAACAGTGGCTGTGGGCAGACTGTCCAGGGTCCTGATGCTGCTGCCCCCCTTGTGACTTCAGGATCCAACCTCAGTGTTTGTGGCACTATTTCAGGGCAAGGGAAAAGACACTAAAATAAATCTTATATTTTGCAAACTCAACCTACGTGTCCCAAACTGAGCTCCTCGTCAGCCTTCCCATGCCGTTGTACCTGGGCTCCCTGTTTCCTGCATGGCGTCCTCACTCTTCACTAGGGCTAGAAACCCCATGCTGCCTTCCGCTCCTGCCAGGTGCCACAGCCTGAAAACGTATTGTGGCAAAGGTCCTCACCTCCTCTCCTTATCTTCTTTGCATTCCTGCTGCCCATCAGTGCCCAAGGAAAAACCATGTCCCCACCTTTGAAATTGACACTCAAATACTTTAGAATCTGACCCCTACTGGTTTCCAGCCATATCCTGCAGCCTGGCTGCTGCCATTCCATGTCCCACAGCCTGTCTGTACCACTCCAGGCCAAGCTACCCTCTCACCTAAGAAGTCTTACAAGTGTCCACACCCTGTCCCCCCAGGGGGTAATGAGAAGACCCTTTTAAAACTCTCCAGCACATTACCTAACCTTTTTTCACAGTTGTCCACATAAGAAATGTCCAAATCTGTAGAGAATTGTTGTAAGAGTTTATTTGAGCTAAACCGACATTGCCAGGAAGCAAGATCTCAAATCTTGCTCTGAAAAAAAAACCACACACACAGTTTAGCAGTTTATTTTATACATTTGAAATTAAGGAACAAGAATGTAAGGAAGATTACAGGAAGATGGGAGAAAGCAAAGCATGGGTTGGATTACAGGATAGTTAAGATTACTGTTCTCTCAAGGGTGGTTATGCCTCTGAGGGGTCTGAAAAAGAGGATCACTGTGGCATTTCCACAGTGTTAACCTCGATACACAAAAATGGGCAGGGCTAGTTTAGGGCAAAGATAAACATTTTACTAGGGAAGGTATAGGCCTGAGGTGTGACTATCCACCATGACCTGCACAATTAGGAATTTATGATCAGACCACACTGTGAGGTTACATTACAGCACCCCTTTTTAAAAAATATATATATATATTTTTTTTTATTGATTTCAGAGAGGAAGGGAGAGAGGTAGAAACATCAATGATGAAAGACAATCATTGACAGGCTGCCTCCTGCATGCCCCCTATTGGGGATCGAGCCTGAAACCCAGGCATGTGCCCTTGCCTGGAACCAAACCTGAGACCCCTCGGTCCATATGCCAACGCTCTATCCACTGAGCCAAACCAGCTAGGGCCAGAACACTTTTTCACCTGAGCTATAGATGCCTCCTCAGATTAACTCATGGGCAACTGAGGGCTGGATGTTAACAGAAGGTGACCTGAAACATCCCTGTGTCAGTGATCAGAGAACCCTGCCCCACCCAGCTGGGCATTCCTCTCCCACCTGTCTAAGGTTTTAGCTGGTGCCCTTCCTCTCTCTGCAGCCAGACTTGGCTCTGTTTGTTGGACTCATCCCTGCCAAGGGATAGGTGACTCTGCCATTTGGGGCCCAGCCTGCGGTGGCTATCACTGTATTGGCTTTGCTCTCTTTTCTCCAGTCTTAACAACAACGAGTTGGGAGACACAGGCCTCAGTTTTTTCATTTGTGACTTAAGCACCAAGCTCAAACTTTAGAATCTAAACAAATGTTATTCTGTGGGTTAGCAGGAGATTAGGTGAGGGCCTGGAAAGGCCCT